GAGGTTGCTGTGAGCTGCGATGCCATGGCACTCTACCCAGGGGGACAGCTTGAGGCTCCTGTCTCAAAAAAAAAAAAAAAAATAGTTATAAAGATGGACATTCACAGTACAGGTGCTTACATTTTTTTCATCTGGGAATAAATAAATATAAATATATATATATTTTTGAGACAGAGTCTCACTCTGTCACGCTCGGTAGAGTGCCATGGCATCATAGCTCACAGCAACCTAAAACTCTTGGGCTTAAGCAATTCTCTTGCCTTAGCTTCCCAAGTAGCTAAGACTATAGGTGCCCACCACAATGCCCAGCTATTTTTTTGCTGTAGTTGTCATTATTGTTTTGGCAGGCCTAGGCCATGTTCAAGCCCACCAGGCCTGGTGTATTTGGCCAGTGCCCTAGCTGCTGAGCTACAGGCACAGAGCCAAATAAATAAATATATATATATATATTGGCTGGGGCTGGGTTTGAACCTGCCACCTCTGGCATATGGGGCAGGCGCCGTACCCCTTTGAGCCACAGGTGCCACCCCAAATAAATATATTTTTAAATCGAAATGTTTTTATTTTATCCTTGTTTAATAAAAAGCACAATTTTGAAACCCCTCAATCAGATAGATGAGTTCGTGTTTCATGAAGTGTATTTTTGCTATTGTTTTTAGTGATAAGACTCAAGAAGCAACAAAAGACATTTTGGCACTAAAATGTAAAATGTCAACGACCAAGATAGTACAGCAAGATTCAAATAAATTACAATGTCCTGTGGGTTCTCTAACAGTTTGGAATGAAGGTAGAGTATTTCAATCAAATGTTTACTTACATCTCTGTATTAAGATTTCCCAGATTTGTTTAAATCTTTTTTTTTTGCCATATAGTTGGGGGATGTGACCTCAGTGCTAGAGAAGATGAGAAAGCATGGGTGACAGTAGAGCTGGGATGCAGAGTCCAGGTGAAGAAGAGAGGGAAATAAATGTGAATTGGAAGAAATTAAAAATGTTGAGAGCTCCTTTAGAGGAAATGTGAGCGAAATAATTGAGGCAGAAATAAAATTTTAAAATTCAACATTGGAAAAATTGAAGGATGTTAACCATGTGTTTTGTGGAGGGCTTAATTTTGGGAACTGCTGCTTTGCAATTTATATGTAATTTATTTTTTTTTAAATTTACAGAACAGGTCTTAAATTATAATAAAGCTACTACTAAAGAATCAAGTGGCCTTCCAGTAACAGAGGTCCCATTACTTGAAATGAAGGAAGGACAGCTATCTCAACTGCAACACGATGTACCATATTTCAGGTTCGTCTGTTTGTTTCTAGTGTAAGAATTTTATACTTTTATCCATGTCTAGACATTTAAAACCAAAATTCAAAATTAGGGGTCTTGCTCCATTGCCCATGTGGTGACATTGACCATAGCTACTGCAATCTTGAACTCCTGGGCTCAGATGACCCTCTCATCTCAGCTTCCCAAGTAGCTGGGATTACAGGTGCGCAATGCCACATCCTGCTAATTTAAAAAAATTTTATACACATAGGATCTGGCTCTATTGTGCAGGCTGGTCTGGTACTCCTGGGCTCAAATGATTCTCCTACCCCTGCCTCCCAAAGTGGTGAGATTATAGGTGTGAGGCACCACACCCGCCCAAAATTAAAATATTTTTAGCCCAGAGGCTCACACCTGTAATCCTGGCATTCTGGGAGGTTGAGGTAGGTGGATTGCCTGAGCTCATGAGTTCAAGACCAGCCAGAGCCAGACCCTGTCTCTAAAAAATAGCTGGACGTTTTATTGGGCACCTTTAGTCCCAGCTACTCAGGAGACTGAGGCACGTGAATCAATTGAACCCAAGAGTTTGAGGTTGCTGTGAGCCATGACACCGTGGTACTCTACCAGAGGTACAAAGAGAAACTCTGTCTCAAAAAAAAAACAAAAACAAAGTATATATGTATGTATGTATATTTTTAGCTTTAATATTGTAGATGTGGTAGGGAGAAACAGATTTTAAGTGATTTTCACTTTTTTTTCAATCCACCTGCCTTGGCTCCCAGAGTTCAGGATTACAGGTATGAGCCACTGCCCCTGGCCTTCACTTACAGGTGTGAGCCGCTGCCCACCTCTGGCCTTCACTTCTTTTTTTGTGAGTGGGATAAGGTCTTGCTCTGACTTGAGGGGCTAGAGTGCAGTGATGCCATCATACCTCACTGAACTTCCAACTCTGAGGTTTAAATGTTTCTCCTGCCTCAGACTCTCAAATTGTTGGGACTACAGGTGCCCACCACAATGGCTGGCTAATTTTTCTAGTTTTTCTTTCTTTCTTTCTTTTTCTTTTTTTTGACAGTCTTATTATGTCACCCTCCGTAGAGTGCTATGGTATCACGGCTCACAGCAACCTCAAACTCTTGGGCTTAAGTGATTCTCTTGCCTCAACCTCCCAAGTAGCTGGGACTGCAGGTGCCCACCACAATGCCTGGCTATTTTTGTTGTTGTTGTTGTTTAGCAGGCCCTGGCCAGGTTCAAACCCACCAGCCCTGGTGCATGTGGCTGGTGCCCTAACCACAGAGCTATTGGTGCCAAGCCTAATTTTTCTAGTTTTAATAGAGACAGGAGTGTCACTCTACTCATGCTGGTCTTAAACTCCTGGCTGCACAGAGTGCTAGGATTACAGGCGTGACCCATCGCTCCTGCGGAAATAAAACACACAGGAGACAAGGATGGGATGAGGAGGATTGGAGCTGCTAAGACTGCAGCCAGCACTGACCTGTGCAAACGGCTTTATTATACAGTACCTAAACAAGGTCACTGACCTTAACAAAGTTGCTTGCCAGAGGAAAATTAGGCAAAGGAATATTTCAGATAGAAAAAAGGGGCAGTTCCTGGATAAGCAAAAAGAAACTCTATCAAAAGCAATTTTCTTTTATTGAGATGATTCTGGCACATGGGGTAAAGATTAACTTTTGGGAGGAAAAGCTACGCGCTTTCTGGCAAAAGATAAAAGAGAAAGTATGGAGAGCAGAGAAAGAAAGAAGGAGGGACAGGTGGGGGAAAGGAAGAGCAGAGAGAGAGAAGGAGCGAGGAGGGTGGGGTCTTGGTGTGTGCCACACCTTTTGGGGCAAGACATGATTGTAAGAGGGACTTTACCTAACAAATGCAATCAGTGCAACCTGGTTTCTTGTACCCTCAATGAATCCCCAACAATAAAAAAACAATAAAATAAAAAGAAAGTATGTAGGGGCTACATGACTTCTGGCAGAGGGGAAAGAATGTTGTTGTTCTAGGAGTAGAAGCAGACGGGTGTTGTTCTCTGACCATCTCCCAGCCTGTGGGGGCCTTGCTACCTCACAGCCCATACTCACAGCATACGGCTAATTAAAAAAAATTGTTGGCTCGGCACCTGTGGCTCAAGTGGCTAAGGCGCCAGCCACATATACCTGAG